ATAAATCCTGTTCTGCACACTCACAACTGTAAACCTCCTTTTACCCATTCCTGTACCGCGGGCGAGTCCACAGTCAACCACCGAGCACAGGTCAGGCTCTGAGCGCCATAACCCTGTCACTCGGCAAGCAGCTGGTTTGTGACTGTGAAAATGCTGCAGAAATGGACTTGGCCGCCAGAGGGCGCAGGGTGGCAGGATGTGGGCGAGGAGGCCTGTGAGGGCAGCTCTGCACCTCCCCGGGCTGCTGGACATGGACGGGGAGGGTCTGGGCTGCGGGGAGGGAGCCTGCCGCCGGACCGGGTACGGACCTGTCCTCTGCTCGGTGTCTTAAAGAGCCACGTCCAGTTTTTGCTGAAGAAAAGGCCCCTGTCATGTGGGGTGTGTGTGCGGGAGGGTGCAGTCCGGAGCTGAGCAGAGGCTGTGAGGTCACAGGGTGTGGTGGTGGACAGAGGCTGGCCTCCCACCTGCTCCAGGACTGTGCTGTTACCAGGTGTGTGTGTGTGTGTGTGTGTGTGTGTGTGTGTGTGTGTGAGTGTGTGTGTGTGTGTGTGTGAGCATGTGAGAGTGAGTGTGTGAGTGTGAGAGTGTGTGTATGTGTGAGCATGAGAGAGTGTATGAGTGTGTGTGAGTGTGATTGTGTGAGTGTGTGTGTGTGAGTGTGTGTGTGTGTGAGAGTGTGAGTGTGTGTGTGTGAGCATGTGAGAGTGTGTGTGTGTGTGAGCATGTGAGAGTGAGTGTGTGTGTGAGCATGTGAGAGTGTGTGAGTGTGTGTGTGCATGTGTGTGAGCATGTGGGTGTGTGTGAGCATGTGAGTGTGTGTGTATGCATGTGAGAGTGAGTGTGTGTGTGTGCATGTGTGTGTGTATATGCATGTGAGAGTGTGTGTGTGTGAGAGTGTGTGTGTGTGTGAGTGTGTGAGTGTGTGTGTGAGTGTGTGAGCATGTGAGAGTGTGAGTGTGAGTGTGTGTGTGCATGTGAGTGTGTGTGTGTGTGTGTATATGCATGTGAGAGTGTGTGTGTGTGTGTGAGCATGTGAGAGTGTGTGAGTGTGAGAGAGTGTGTGTGTGTGAGAGTGTGTGTGTGTGTGTGTGAGTGTGTGTGAGTGTGTGTGTGTATGCATGTGAGTGTGTGAGTGTGTGTGTGTGTGTGTGTGAGTGTGTGTGTGTGTGTGTATATGCATGTGAGAGTGTGTGTGTGTGTGTGAGCATGTGAGAGTGTGTGAGTGTGAGAGAGTGTGTGTGTGTGAGAGTGTGTGTGTGTGTGAGTGTGTGTGTGAGTGTGTGTGTGTATGCATGTGAGTGTGTGAGTGTGTGTGTGTGTGTGTGTGAGTGTGTGTGTGAGCATGTGAGCATGAGTGTGTGTGTGTGTATGCATGTGAGAGTGTGTGTGTGAGTGTGTGAGTGTGTGTGTGAGTTGTGTGTGCATGTGAGAGTGAGTGTGTGTGCATGTGTGTGTGTGTATATGCATGTGAGAGTGTGTGTGTGTGTGTGAGTGTGTGTGTGAGTGTGTGAGTGTGTGTGTGTGAGTGTGTGAGTGTGTGTGTGAGCATGTGAGCATGAGTGTGTGAGTGTGTGTGTATGCATGTGAGAGTGTGTGTGTGAGTGTGTGTGTGTGTGTGTGAGTGTGTATATGCATGTGAGAGTGAGTGTGTGAGGAGGGGGAGAGGAGGCCCAGGCTGTCCTTCCTATAACAGGCATGCTGTGGAAGCACATGAACTTGGCTGAATTATGCATCCGATTCCTGGTCTAAATGCCGCGCCCGCAGCGCGGACAGCGCCCCCACAAGCACTGCACACGGCGCTGCTGCAGGACTGTTTATTTACAGAAATCACACGCATGGCGGAGCGGGCACTCCGGGCTGCTGCCCGCCAGCAGGCTGTCTCCCGACGACAGCGCGGCCGGCCACGCTGGGGTCTGGCGGAGGCGCCTAGGCCCGGGCCCCCACGGGCGCGGGCCTGTCCTCCGCCGGGTCCTCCGCCGGGTCCGCGGGCGCAGGCAGGGCCCCGGGCGGCAGGTGCGGGGCCAGCAGGCTCAGGAGCGCCTCCAGCTGCGCGCGGGAGCGGTAGGCCACGAGGCCGCCGCGGTTGGCCCAGCGGTCCACGCCGCGCGCGCCCGGGTGGCCGCGGTGGTACAGCAGCTGCGGCCGCTCGCGGGGCGCGGGGCCCGGGGCCAGGCAGGCGCGCAGGCCGGCCACGCCGCCGCCCATGGCGCGCAGGATGGCGTGCGGCGCGCACGAGTCCCACTTGAAGGTGGAGTCCTGGGAGAAGACGTACAGGTCCACCAGGCCGCGCGCCACGCACAGGCCCTTGTAGCCGGCGCCCGCGGCGCGCACCACGCGGCCCCCGCACGCCCGCGCCAGCGCCGCCCGCACGGCCTCGCGCTCGCCGGCGCTGACCACGGCGGAGAGTTGGGGGCCGCCCGCGTCCGCGTCCTCGGCGCCGGCCCAGGGCTCGGCGGCGGGCGGCAGGGAGTGCACGTGGGTGCCCATGTAGGACAGGCCCCAGTAGCGCCGGCCTTCCCACCTGCGGGGAGAGGGCGTTTGGTGAGACCACCCCACAGCCTCACAGCGTCTGTGTGTAGGGCTCTGGGGGGGGCAGCCCGGGGCGAGCCCGGGAGCGCTGCCCCTTCCCCCCCACCTGTGCCCGACCGCCCCTCCCGGCTCCCGGCCCCGCCCACGGGCCCGCCCCTACGGCCATGCCCAATCACAGGACCCCCAGGACCCCCAGGACCACGCCCCCATGGACCACACCCACACGGGCCACGCCCCCAGTGCCACACCCCACCGCCGGGCCACGCCCTCGCCACGGGCCACGCCCACCGCCGGGCTCGCACTTGCCTTTCATGATTCGTGTGGAAAGCACGAATGAAACACATGTTTAATGTAACGAATCTCCCAGCCCTTCAGCCTGGAAACAGGCCCCGGGCGCTCGCTCATCCCTGATCAGCTCCGCGCTGCCTGGCAGCCTCGCAGGGGGCGGCTGTCTCCGGCATCGCACACACTCACACTCACACTCACACACGGGCGACGCCAGCGTGTGTGTGGGCTCGGGTCTCCGGCCGCGCGGGCAGCTCAGGGCCAAGAGGGAAGCTGAACGCACAGGCCGCCTGTCTCTCCGTCTGCGTGGGTTTACGGCCCCTGTGCATGCTCTGCCCGCTGCTCTACCTCCTCTGCCTCCTCACCCGCTCGCCTCCAGTGAGCGCCGAGAAAGACAGCCCTGGCACCTGGCCCTCCTCCCTGTCTGCGCTGGGCGACGCCTGCCTGCCTGCGCTGGGGGACGCCTGTCTGTCTGTGCTGGGGGACGCCTGCCTGTCCTGGGGGACGCCTGTCTGTGCTGGGCGACGCCTGTCTGCGCTGGGGGACGCCTGTCTGTCTGTCCTGGGGGACGCCTGCCTGTGCTGGGCGACGCCTGCCTGTGCTGGGCGACGCCTGCCTGTGCTGGGCGACGCCTGCCTGCCTGCGCTGGGCGACGCCTGCCTGTGCTGGGCGACGCCTGCCTGTCTGCGCTGGGCGACGCCTGCCTGTCTGCACTGGGCGACGCCTGCCTGTCTGCGCTGGGGGACGCCTGTCTGCGCTGGGGGACGCCTGTCTGTCTGTGCTGGGGGACGCCTGCCTGTGCTGGGCGACGCCTGCCTGTGCTGGGCGACGCCTGTCTGTCTGTGCTGGGCGACGCCTGCCTGTCTGTGCTGGGCGACGCCTGTCTGTCTGTGCTGGGCGACGCCTGCCTGTCTGTGCTGGGCGACGCCTGCCTGTCTGTGCTGGGCGACGCCTGCCTGCCTGTGCTGGGGGACGCCTGCCTGTCTGTGCTGGGGGACGCCTGCCTGTCTGTGCTGGGGGACGCCTGCCTGTCTGTGCTGGGGGACGCCTGCCTGTCTGTGCTGGGGGACGCCTGTCTGTCTGTGCTGGGGGACGCCTGTCTGTGCTGGGGGACGCCTGTCTGTGCTGGGGGACGCCTGTCTGTGCAGTTGACTGCCTTGGGAACACGTCTCGGCCAGGGTTAGGCCTCGCCCAGGCCCAGCGCCTTCTAATGTCGTGGTGACAGTGGAAGGAGCACACACACGTTCTTGCGTGGAGGAGGACAGGGAAATGTCAGAACTCCAGGGGTTAGTTGTGACTATTGCAGAGCTGACAATTCTCAGCGGCCCAGGCAACGCAGAGCTCAGGAAAAAACGTGCAGTCTGCCCCAACCAAGTCTGACCCACTTCAGGGAGAACACGGAACCAGCGGCGTGCGGCTCCGTGGCTGAGCGTGGGCCTGTGAGCCAGGAGGTGAGGGTTCGATTCCCGTCAGGGCACAGGCCCGGGCTGCGGGCTCCATCCCCAGTGTGGGGTGGCAGGAGCAGCCGGTCAGTGATTCTCTCTCCTCATGGATGTTTCTCTCCCTCCCTCTCCCTTCCTCTCTCTGAAATCAGTAAAAAGATTGTAAAAGAAACCACAAATCAAAACAGAACCCCCAGGAGAGAAGCGGTGTTTCCACCCGGGCTCGCCGGCCCTGGAGCCAACCCCAAAGCGCGGGCCAGTCGGGGGCGCCACCCGCCACACTCCACGAAGCTCCGCGGAGGGAGGAGAGCGAGGGCCCTCGCTCTCACAGGGACAGCACCCCCGAGGCAGGTTCTAATCCGGGCCAGAGCCCCTCGTCTTTTCTCTGGGTGATTTTCACATTTGGGTTTTGAATTTCTTCTAAAATTGTGTAACAGCTCAACAGGCCCCTCCCATTCCAAACGTCTCAGCAGGCAGGGTGGGCCCGTGCCAGCCACTTGCTTTGGCACGGGTTCGAGGACCAGGGAGCAGGGCTGCTCTCTTCCAAAGGCACAACCACAACTCGGCCCACACGCCACTTCCTTCCAGAGCTTCCGCCAGTGGCCCGTCCCCCGGCCAGTGACCAGGCCACACAGAGGACGTGGCCTCCCACACGCAGACCCGGCGGGCCCGGCCCGGCGGGGCGCGTCCTGGGAACGCCACGCCGAGCGATCCCCTGGCAGCAAGCGAAGCCACGGGGCCCCCCTACCTGTGGGTGACGGGGTCCAGCGTCACGAAAGGCTGGTTGATGACGCCCATCAGGGGCAGCCCCGACTGCAGGTCGTAGACGCCGATGAGGATGGTGACGCAGGCCAGGCCGCGGGGGAAGACGCCGTGGCTGGGCTCCACGTCGGCACAGCCCTGGATGTACTCGTGCGTGGAATCTGCAAGGGGTTCAGGCCGCGGTTGTGGAGGAAGTGAGGGTGAGCACACCTGTGAAGGCGCTTCTGCAGCATCTCGTCCTTCTCAATAACCGAGACAGTCTGAGCGTTTGTGGGGGCCCCCCCATCCTAACCCTCAAGAGACAGAACCAGTGGGTGTGGCTCAGTGGCTGCGCGTTGACCTAGGAACCAGGAGGTCACGGTTTGATTCCTGGTCAGGGCACAGGCCCGGGTATTGGGGATGGACAGGAGGCAGCTGATCCAGGATTCTCTCTCAGCATGGATGTTCCTCTCTCTTTCTCTCCTTTCCTCTCTGAAATCAATAAAAATATATTGAAAACAAATCAAAACACACACACACACACACACACACCCAAAAATCAATGAGCTACAGATTTTGGTTCTATCACAGTCGTGACCTGAAAAGGGGTCCACAGGGCCTCCATGCTGACGGCTTTGCCTGGCCTGTGCCGGCGCTGACTGCCTGTTTTGTTGAATTGGCAGGAAGTGGTTACAGGGAGCGGTCTCACCGAGCCTGGCTTCATTTCCCTCCGAGAAGCCGAGGACCTGGCGCGCGGTGCCGCCTGGCAGGTGCCCGCTGCAGCTGTGTGCCCTGTGGCTGCCTGTGTGCCCTGACGTGTGGCTGCTCTCGCTCCCTCCTCCCTCCCATGTACAGCCTGGACTCTGACACCCTTCAGAGAGGAGGCAACTGAGACCTGCACGTGTGCCCGTGTGTGTGCACGCACCCCCTGTAACAGATCCACAAACATGTATACATATCTGTTACAGGGGACAGGTGCACGTTTGTTTATAACAACACGTCCTAACACCTACCCGACTCTTCATTTCACACTGTAAAGATTTTAAACTATTCTCAATTTGTATTCTTCTAAGTTCCCTATTCCCCCCCCCACTCATACACACACACACACACAAAACCAATCGTGACTAAACAAATGAATGAAAGCAAACCCTCCACTGACCTATGGGGTCCACCCAGATTCCCATCGTGTCCTGTGGAATGGCGACCTGGACCGAATCCAGGGCCGGGTCGGCGAAGGGCACGTCCTCATGCACGACCTTGGCCAGGGCCGCGGCCGCCGGCTGGTTCCCGTTCAGGACTCTGCTCAGCAGCTCGGCCGTCTCCGCCTCCGTGGGGCACAGCCTCAAGACGATCTTTTCCCCTGGAGGGAAGAGACAGTCACGGCATCTCAGAGTGACGGGAAAGGACCACAGCGGGGTGGGGGGCAAGCGGTGCACTCGGTGCGGGAAGGGCACCGGGCCGTATCCGTGGCCCCGGAGCGCCCGTGGCCAGAAGCACAGGCAGTCCAGATGTGGGTTTTGAGTTTAGACCTTGGCCTGAAATCGTGGTCTATTCTGAAGAAGCACGTCTTTCTGGGGCATCTGTGACTCCCATTAGATTCCCAAAGGACCACTCAACTTTCCAAAAGGTTAAGTTAAGCCGAAACCGGTGTGGCTCAGTGGATAGAGCGTCGGCCTGCGGACTGAAAGGTCCCGGGTTCGATTCCGGTCAAGGGCATGTACATTGGCTGCGGGCACATTCCCGGTAGGGGGTGTGCAAGAGGCAGCTGGTCGATGTTTCTCTCTCATCGATGTTTCTAGCTCTCTGTCTCTCTCCCTTCCTCTCTGTAAAAAATCTTCCTCTCTGTATAAAATATATATTTTTTTTAAAAAAAGTCCTGATTTAAAAAAACAAAACGAAAAGGTTAAGTTAAGCCCTGGACAGTGAAGCTCAGTGGATAGAGTGTCGGCCTGCAGACTGAAGGGTCCTGGGTTCTATTCCGGCCAAGGGCACATGCCCAGTGGGGGACGAGCAGGAGGCAGCCAATCACTGATTCGCTCTCATCACTGATGTTTCTATCTCCCTCTCCTTCTCCCTTTCTCTCTGAAATCAATAGATATATTTAAAAAAAATAATAAGGTTAAATCATACATTACTTAAATGCCACCTGTTTACATCTAAGATACCCCATTTCCCTAAGTAAATGGCCTGGAATTCCGCATGGAGCTTAATATTCGAATATACAGTCGTTTACATGGAAGGCTCCCAAGCACCCATTAGAATGAAAGCTGGAAGTTAGGACAGGACACGATCGTAAAACTGACAACGACACACGAGGACCTGTGTACTTACCCAGAGCATTGGTAAACTCGTTGGACTCTTCCCCCAAAATTTTCTCCTCCAAGCCTGGGAACTGAACAATGCAGGGGATGACAACAAACCAAAGCAAGAACAACACCCCCTCAACACACACACACACACACACACACGCACACGCACACGCACACGCACACGCACACACGTTTCGTTCTGAACAGGTTCCCATTTTCTACTTCAGAGTAAGCAGCACGCCTAGGTGTGAAGTTCAGGAATGTGCCATTCCGGAAGCCCGCCTCAGCGTGACTCAGTGAGGCCAGCGTGGCTCGGCACTTAACTCGCTAAGTCTTCCCTGCTCCCCGGCCCTTAGAAAGTGCAATTCATGGGAGAAAGCTGGCTTCCTTCTGTCCTGGTGAGTTTGCAGAAGTATTTCTAGAAACTTCCTCTATCTCCTTAAGGGCCATGGGACTACCCGTGTTTCCCCGAAAATAAGATATCCCCTGAAAATAAGACCTAGCACAACGTTGGGAGAAAAAATTAATATAAGGCCGAGACCGGTTTGGCTCAATGGATAGAGCGTCGGCTTGGGGACTGAAGGCCCTGGGTTAGATTCCAGTCCAGGGCACATGCCTGGGTTGCTAGCTCAATCCCCAGTAGGGGGTGTGCAGGAGGCAGCCGATGGATGATTCTCTCTCATCATGGATGTTTCTCTCCCTCTCTCCCTTCCTCTCTGAAACCAATTAAAATTCTTTACACGGAGCTCAGGAAGACTCTCCTCTCATCTGTGCAGGACCAGGAAGCGTTCCGATCCCTCTGCCTTCCAGGAGAGACGTTTCCCTCCACCTCCGTGCTGACTCCCGGCCTGTGAGATGTTCCAGGGGAGGAAGGCAAGGCACGCTCCCAGTACGTGCCCTCAGCCAGCGGCAGGAGCGTGAAAACGCCCACACCCGCTTGGCACCCAATTCTGAGGCGCGGGGCGCACCCACCGGGCTGGGCCCAGCTCCCCGCCCGCCTATAGCCTGAGTCTGAGGCAGGAGGCGAGTCAGGAAACAAAGATGTTTCTTCCTTCTCGCCAAGGTGAGCCTCACTTCTCTGTTCAAGTCCCGGCCCGCACCTCCTCAGCGAAGCCTGCCTGGACGTGTTCTCGCTGTGGGCAGAGACACCCACCAAACTGAATGCGGCACTTCCCGAAGCCAGCTGCTCGGCCTGGCCTGTCCTGGTCAGGATCAGTGAGGAACTTGCCCCATTCAGCCCAAAGAGGCAGGCATCTTAGGGCACGGAGAAGTGTAGTTCATAGAAGATCCTAAGGGTTGTTTAGCCCTAACCGGTGTGGCTCAGTGGATAGAGCGTGGGCCTGCAGAATAAAAGGTCCCAGGTTCGATTCCGGTCAGGGGCATGTACTTTGGTTGCAGGCACATCGCCAGTAGGGGGTGTGCAGGAGGCAGCTGATCGATGTTTCTCTCTCATTGATGTTTCTATCCCTCTCCTTTTCTCTCTGTAAAAAATCAATATATTAAAAAACAAACAAACAAAGGGTTGTTTATTCTTCCTTCCTGTGGTCAGGAATTCATTTAAATGATTCTCTTTTTTAAATGTTTTTGTTGATTTTTAGAGAGAGGGGAAGGGAGATGGAGAGAGAGGAACATCCATGATGAGAGTGAATGATTCTTACTGATTCCTATACGTGGAGCATTTCATAGAGAACTAGTCCAATACCTTATAGTGCCTTCCCTCACAAAGCTCTGTCCTCCTGAGGATGTAATCATTCGATCCTATAGGAGCCACAGCAAGGCAGAGCAGACTGGAGCCACGTGGCCTGTGCTCAAAACTGGCCCACTCACCTGCTGTGTTACCTCAGGCAAGTGACTTAACCTCTCTGTGCCAGCCTTTTCTCACCCTCTCCCGGGATTCCTAGTCCTTCACAAAACTGTTATAAGAGCTGAGAAGTCAAGTAAGCCTTGAGAGCAGTGTCTGGCATGCAATAAGCATTTACACGTGTCTGTTAGTGGTGTGATTGTTAGTATTCATGAGTACAGCTCTGCCCCGATCAGTTTAAAATCACTGGAATCACCATCATTGTTAGTTATAAATAATATTTTTCCAGTAGAACGTTTCCAGAACTCTACAAGCATTAGATACTCGATTATGTCAGAAAGTGAGACTTAACAGATCAAACCCTTTTTTTTTAAAAGTTATCAAAATAGTATTTTCTCATTTCTATTGAAATAAATGATATGTGTCATACACACATACAGGGGAAACATTCTAACAACACGGAGCCAAACAGCTGAGGCTTTCTCTCCTGGGGGATATCTGCTTATTTTCCCCGAGGACGCGCGTGACTTATTCAAAAAGAAGCTCAATAAAGGGGAGGCCTGTTTCTCTCCAGCTCTGAGGACGGGGACTGGTTTTTATCTCCTTATTTGCTCTCCTGTACTTTCAAACTGTACTTTCCTGTATTTTCTGCAGGGAACGTGCCAGGAACGGTATAGTCAGAACCAGGGGCGTCAGACCCCCGTGGAGTGTGTTCGGACCGGGGTGCTGGCCCTAAGGGGGTGGAGGGGGCGGGCGCCCGCAGGCCGGGGCCTACCTTGGCCTCCATGTGCCGCTTGATCACCTCCTGCACCAGCACGTCGGCCAGCGTCTTGAAGTCCAGGGCGAACTTCTTGTTCTTGTCCTCGCCCTTCTTCTCCTCGATGAGCAGCTGGAAGAGGGCGTCATGCTGCCGGCAGGCGCGGGCGATGTGGGCCGCCTTCTCTGAGACGCGAAGCAGCTCCCGCAGGATGGCCGACATGGCTGCCTGGCCCGCCCCAGCGGTGAGGGGCCCACGGGCAGCTGGAGAGAGGATGGGAGAGAGAGAGCGCCCGCAAGCAATGTACATGCCCTTGACCAGAATCGAACCCGGGACCTTTCAGTCCGCAGGCCGACCCTCTATCCACTGAGCCACACCGGTTAGAGCACGGTGCCCATGCCGCCAGTCTGGCCGCTGGCAGGGGGCGCGGTGGGCAGGCTGAGCGGAAGCTGTGGGGCGGGGGCCGCCGGGTGAGGGCTCATGGGGAACACGCACAGTGAACAGGCACCAGCCCAGGAGCTCACCTCCCGGCCACCCCTGTGCCCACCACACCAGTCACGCTTCAGGGGGACGACCAGGCCACTTGTTTCTGTTTGTTTACATCTGTTTTATTGATGTCAGAAAGGAAGGCAGAGGAAGGGAGAGGGAGAAACATCAGTGATGAGAGACCTGTGGGTGGGCTGCCTCTTGCACATGCCCACTGGGGACAGAGCTCACAACCGGGCCTGTGCCCTGACCGGGAATCGAACCCTGACCTCCTGGTCCCTAGGCCAACATTCAACCACTGAGCCACGCCAGTCAGGCGGAAACTTGTTTTTTTTTAAATATTTAAAAATATATATGGATTGTCTGGAAAACCCATTAGGCCAAGGACTGACATCTCGGTGCCAGAAGGTGTTTGGATGGGAACCTGCGTTCTACGTGCGAACCCTGCAGACAGACAGGTGGGCGAGGGCTAAAGGGAGCCAGCTTCTCTCAGGGACCAGGATGCACACCTGCGGGGTGGACGCAGGTTCTCCCGTTTACCCGATGGGGAGGTGGGTGAGAGGGTGTGTCCTACCAGTTCTGGGGCGACTTTCTGAGCCTTGAGCACCTGTGAGCGCCCCGCCCCTCCCGCCCCTCCCTGCAAAAAACGTCCAGCGAGAAAAATTTCAGAAAACACAGTGTCGAAACCACGCATCACTGGGCCTGAGCGTTCTGGCCTCCGAGCTGATGAGAACGAGCCCCAGGAGCCCTCGGCGGCAGCGGGTTCATGGTTAGTGGCCACAGCTGGTCTGCGTTGAACACGTTTGCTAAAAACCTTTTCAATGCTATTTTCTTAGAGTATGGGTCAGCCACCTGAGAACGATGCCCGCCTCCACAGGGATGAGGGGACAGGGAGGGCAGCAGAGGCCGGAGCTCACAGGAGAGTGGGAAGCAGCCCTGGAGGGAGACCCCGTGCCCTGGAGATGCCCTGCCCTCCAGCCCTCAGCTCCAGGCCCGCCGTGAGGCGTGCGAGGAAGTCGGCGAGAAGGGAACCTATCGCAGTGCTAGGAGGATGGCTGGCGACGGCAGCAAGTTGAACATAACCTTAAAGGTGGACGACGTGGTCCTCAGACATGGTCCTGAAGAACAGGCCACATGGAGCCATGTCACTGCTGTCAGCCAAGAGGAAAACAACTGAGGCACGCAGCTGGTGGAGCATCGTCCCACCCGCAGGAGGTGCGGGTTTGATCCCGGTCCAGGTGCGCGGAGCTCACACCTGGCAGCTGCTGTGTTTGACGTGGGACATCGCTACTTGGCACCTGCCTCCCTGTCCTCGCAGGAAACCTGGGCCTCGCTGCAGGCATGCTGACCTCTCTCCACGCCCCCCTCACCCACACCCACCCGGCTCTCTCTGGCTGTGGGGCCTCCGGCGAGGGCGGGCTCAGCTCTGCCAAGCACCCAGTTCCCTTCCACCGCCTCCTCGGGCTGCCCAGCACCATGCCACCACCGGGGACTTAGACACCAGGGTCTGTGTCTCACAGATCGGGAGCCGGAGGTCCGGGACCAAGGTGCTGGGGCCGGTGTCTCCGGGGCTTGGGGCGGCCCCTCCTCGCCGTGCCTCACCGTGGCCTCTCTGCGCTGCGCTCACCCCCCTGGTGCGCCTCCCCCGCTTATAAAGTCGCCGGCCGGGCGGGGAATTGGGGCTCAATCAGGCTCACACGTGGCCCCACTTAACGGATTGCTCCTGAGGCCTGACTCCGCCTCCGGTCCCATTCTGAAATCCTGCGCTCACCGCTTCCCCAGGCGAACGCTAGCCCCGTGGCCGGCAAACTCATGAGTCCGCAGAGCCAGATACCAACAGGACAACCATTGACCTTCCTTTGAGAGCCACATTTTTTAAACTTCAACTTCTCCTAACGCCACTTCTTCAACATTTTGTGAAAGCCACACTCAAGGGGCCAAAGAGCCGCGTGTGGCTCGAGAGCCGCAGGCTGCCGACCACAGCTCTAGGGGGATGCACCTCTCGGGCCCCGGGGCCCGCGTCCGTGGTGAGCCCAGCACGGCCGCTCCTCCGGCCGCGCAGGGAGCTCGGCGCTCTCTGCCCACCTGGTGGCTACTGAGCGGCCGCCCCGCGGGGACCACTCGCTCTCACTCGCTCCCACGGCCCAGTCACCGCGGAGGCAGCGAACCCGGAGCCACCGCGTGCCCGCCCGCTCCCTGCCAGCCTCTTCGGATCGGGGTCCGAGCGGGAGAGGGTGGAGGAGACCACGTGTGCGCCCACCACAGCGTCGCGCAGCAGGCCTCCCGCTTCTGTGGCGAGAGAGGCTCTCCCTGGAGCAGGCCAGCGAAGGGGGGCCTTTAGGCTTTTCTGGGAAGGCCATCGCCCACCAAGATAAAACTCTTCTGACGAAACCGGTGCGGCTCAGTGGATAGAGCGTCGGCCTGCGGACTGAGGGGTCCCCGGTTCGATTCCAGTCAAGGGCATGTACATTGGTTGTGGGCACATCCCCAGTGGGGGGGGGGGGGAGGTGCAGGAGGCAGCTGATCGATGATTCTCTCTCATCGATGTTTCTGGCTATCTCTCTCCCTTCCTCTCTGTAAAAATCAATTATATATATATATATATATAAAGATAAAACTCTTCTCATTCCTGACCATCCGATTCCCTGGCTGAACAGCAGAGGTTTACAGTCCTCCCGGCTCAGGTGGGGAGACCGGGCTCTGGAACCTCATACACCTGGGCTCAGACCCCGGCCCGCCGGGAACCAGCTGTGTGGCACCTGGCATCCTCCCTCGCTCCCTGGGCCTCCCTCCTCCGGTGGAGGGGGAGCGGCCCCTGGCAGACCGTGAGGGCCAGTGAGACATTCCGGGGAGCCCCGCACAGAGCCTGCGAGAGCCGACAGTGACAGGGGGGCTGCTAACCGGAGCCCGGCCCTCGCCCTCCCGGGAAAAGGCGAGGCCAGCGCGGTCCGGTCACCGCCCGCTCCCTGGAGAGTCACCTGCCACTACACCCCGGCGGGCCTCTGCCTTCTGAGCGGCTCCCAGTGTGGCCCGACCGGATGGCAGTTTCGGGGCGTCAGGAGGAACCCTGGCTCTGGGAGCGGCGACGCCCCGGGTGGGGGCCTCGTGGGATCTGCAGGGCCATTGTCCCGGGGTGTCCTGTGAGGGCGCTGTGGGAGGTCTGGGCCCGGCTGCCCGTGCTGGAGAGCGGGGCCCGGCCGGCTGGCCGCAGGCGGGCGGGAGGCCTGGGGGCGCCAGCGAGCAGCGCTGGGAGCAGGGAGGGGGCATGCCGCCGGAGAACCCCAGCCTCCTCCGCCCCCAGGGCCTGTGGGGGGCCGTGGCCATTGTCACCTGCTCTGTATATTGTTTAAAAATCTCTCCAGGGCCGCTGGCGTGGCTCAGTGGTTGAGTGTCAAGTATGAACCGGGAGGTGACGGGTTCAATTCCTGGTCATTGTCAGGGCACATGCCCGGGTTTGGGCTTGATCAGATCCGAGGCAGCCCATCAATGATTCTCTCATCACTGACATTTCTCTCTCCCTCTCCCTTCCTCTCTGAAATCAATAAAAATACATATATTTAAAAGTGAAAGGGTTCTGAATAAGAATGCACTGAAGCAGTAAACGTCCTGCCTTGGTCTCCCCCAGAGCCCGTTTGGAAGGTGAGGGCGAGGTCGCTCCCCGGTTCGCGGTCTACTGTCCCCGCACCCACTGCGCAGGCCACCCGGCCACCCTCCTGGGTTCCAAAGCCAGCCCCGCGGCCCGTGGGGGAGGGACGCGGCCCGAGGGGGAGGGACGCGGCCCGTGGGGGAGGGACGCGGCCCGTGGGGGAGGGGCGCGGGCCCGTGGGGGAGGGACGCGGCCCGTGGGGGAGGGACGCGGCCCGTGGGGGAGGGGCGCGGGCCCGTGGGGGAGGGACGCGGCCCGTGGGGGAGGGGCGCGGGCCCGTGGGGGAGGGATGCGGCCGTGGGGGAGGGACGGGGGCCGTGGGGGAGGGACACGGTCTGTGGGCGGGAGGGACGGGGCCCGTGGGGGAGGGACGCGGCCCGTGGGGGAGGGACGCGCCCGTGGGGGAGGGACGCGCCCGTGGGGGAGGGGCGCGGGCCCGTGGGGGAGGGGCGCGGCCGTGGGGGAGGGACGGGGGCCGTGGGGGAGGGACGCGGCCCGTGGGGGAGGGATGCGGCCGTGGGGGAGGGACGCGGCCTGTGGGGGAGGGACGCGGCCGTGGGGGAGGGACACGGTCTGTGGGCGGGAGGGACGGGGCCGTGGGGGAGGGACACGGTCTGTGGGCGGGAGGGACGGGGCCCGTGGGGGAGGGACGCGGCCGTGGGGGAGGGACTCGGGCCGTGGGGGAGGGATGCGGCCGTGGGGGAGGGACTCGGGCCGTGGGGGAGGGACGCGGCCCGTGGGGGAGGGACGGGGCCCATGGGGGAGGGACGGGGCCGTGGGGGAGGGACGGGGCCCGTGGGGGAGGGACGGGGCCCGTGGGGGAGGGACGGGGCCGTGGGGGAGGGACGGGGCCGTGGGGGAGGGACACGGTCTGTGGGCGGGAGGGACGCGGCCCGTGGGGGAGGGACGGGGCCCGTGGGGGAGGGGCGCGGCCGTGGGGGAGGGGCGCGGCCCGTGGGCGGTGCGGGAGCCCGGCCTGCAGTTCTGAGGTGCCACCCGCTGTGGGCACGGTAGCACTGGCTTCAAATCCTGCTTTGACCGGGGCCATCCTGTCTGACCCTGGGCTGCGGGTTCGCTCTTCCCGCCGATG